CGGTCTGTGCTCCTTCAGGGAGCCGCGACGCTCTGTTTGTGGTCGGAGCTCTGGAGGAGGCCATGGAGCTGAGGGGCATGAGGTACCATCCCATCGACATCGAGACCTCCGTCACCAGGGCTCACAAGAGCATCATGGAGTGGTGGGTGTGGCCCCTGGACCAGACCACAGGGGGGCAGCAGTGGACCAGCAGCACCTGTGGTTTTAGTTTTTATTTCAAACCTCAGCCAGGGTCAGGCGCCGCCTAGTGGCCCTACGGCTGAACTGCAGCAGTTGTTGACCGAGCTTCTGTGTGTGTGCGTTCCCTCAGCGCCGTGTTCCCCTGGACCAACCTGCTGGTGGTGGTGGTGGAGCTGGAGGGCTCCGAGCAGGAAGCCCTGGACCTGGTACCGATGGTGACCAAGGCGGTTCTTGAGGAGCACTACCTGATCGTGGGCGTGGTGGTGGTGACGGACGTGGGCGTGATTCCCATCAACTCCCGCGGCGAGAAGCAGCGAATGCACCTGAGAGACGGCTTCCTGCAGGACCAGCTGGACCCCATTTATGTGGCCTACAACATGTAGCCTGACCGGGAGTGTGTGTGAGTAAGTGTGTGTGTGGGAGCACGTGTGTGTGAGAGAGCGAGCATGTGTCTGTGTGCCGTACTTTTTGCTGTCGTCTTTGGTTCGATTCCCTAAAGATCCACGACCGTATTTTTGACCCTGACGTGACCTTCAGTCCTGACCTTTCTTTAGAGCCGTCTCGTGCTGATCAGTCGATGGACGGATGAATGGACGGATGAATGGATGGATGGACGTGTGTCTTCATGCCCACTGTAGAAAAGCCTTAGAGAAAAAAAACACTCACTGTGTCGAAGGAGGGAAAACTGAGAGGTCAGAGGTCAGAGTGGACGAGACAGAAACACACAGACCTGCGCCACAGTTTGAGAACCAGATTATTGTAAAATTATAAATACTGTACATAGACATAATAATAATAATAATAATCTATATGGAAAGAACAGCAGAGGAGAACGGAGGAGCAGCTCTCTCCACTCACACCCTGTGTGTGTGTGTGTGTGTGTGTGTGTGTGTTTTAACAGGGACCTTTGACCTCTGTTAATGTGAATAAAACTTGTTTTAAATTCTTTTGGACAAATGAAAGCATATTTTCTCATGTCGTTTAAAAGAAGAAAAGAAAAGAATGACGGCCGCGGTGTTTAGATGTTTCCCAGCATGCCGAGCAAAAACTCTGAACATCTCAAAAAAATTAAAAAAAAAAAAAAAAAAGATCGTACAAATTCAGAGCAGGAGTAAAAGTGGAATATAATCTGAGATTACAGCTGAGTGTAATCCTCTTCACGCTGCACACTGACCCTGTGACGGCTGGCAGGAAGTGAGGTCACAACTTCCTGTCTGCGTGTTTAGAAATGTGAAAAAAAAATCAGTAAAATTTGAAAAAAAACAAGAGAAAACTTTAAGAATCATCGACGGCAGAGAAAAATATTTAAAAATCATGAAGTGGAAACAAAATCTTTTTATCATCAGCTGAACTTCCTGAGGGAGTGTGTGTGTGTGTGTGTGTAAACTAATGCAGACTAAGATTAATAAGAAAATAAAATAATTGAAGAATTATTTTAATTAATATTAAAGTTTATTAAACGATGACGTCATCCTGAATTAGACGCTGTTGGGGTTTTTTTTTTTTTTCAAAGAAACTTCTTATTCACCACTTGACAATTTGTGACATCGCTGTGGCAAAACGTGTTAATGACGTCATCATTGATGACATCATCAGTGCGGTCGTCACCTCTTGTCATCTTATGTTTTCATAGAAGAAGAAAAGGACAAAATGCTTCGGTTTGTAGCAGCAGCAGCAGCAGCGTAGCCGCCAGTGCGCAGTCCTAATGCGTGAGTGTGTGCACGTGCGTGTGCGTGTGCGTCTCGTGTGTATTTTATGTTGATTTTGTACGGTACAGGTGAGTGTGTGACTTGTTTTGTACACAGGACAAAAAGAGGAAATGAGACTTTTATAAGAGCCTGTGATTGGCTCCTGTCACACTATATCAGTGCAATAAAGTGCTTTGATTGGCTAAAAGTCAGACGGCCTTTTCATTACTCTGGATGACGTCGCCGGTCACGTGCCCCCTTCTATTACGACGTCCAGCTGATGGAAGAAAAAAGAATGACTTGTTTCAATACATTGTGAAAATTAAAAAAATAATTTACAGTTTTTGAACATAATAAAAATTGGTTTAAAATACTTTAAAACTATGGAATATTTAAAGTCAACTGATTTTATCTTTTAAAAATTTTAATTCTTGTTAATAATAGGAGACGCCACCATACACTTCTAGTTGATCTATTTTTATTTTTTTCTATTGTTTCTTACGGGTTTTTCATGCAGAGTGTGATCTTTTTCATCCAGCAGATGGCAGTGTTGTCTCTCTATTTGTATGCAGCTCTATGGTACCAGGAGCGCGCATGGATTCCGTGATTCCTTCTTATAACAGTGACGCGTTTGGGCGCGTGTACGTGAACTTTGGATTGACCCGAGCTCTCGATACTCACACCCCATAAGTGCACGCGCGCGCGTGTGTGTGTGTTACCAGACACGTGTTTCCTGTTCATCAACAAACACACACACATACACACTCAGGTCTGTGCTGCGGACTAGATGTCTTCAGAACTCCGCTGGACCAGAACAGGAACAGCAGAACCTGGACCTTCAGAACCTGGACCTTCAGAACCTGGACCTTCAGTACCTGGACCTTCAGAACCTGGACCTTCAGGACTTGGCTGTGTTTGTGGTTCTGGATGAGATGAGACCATGTCGGTGACGGGGCGGTTTCTTCTGGTTCTGCTCAGCTTCAACTTCAGCTCCAAGTTTCTGCTCACGGTCAGTGAAAAGTCCGGGTTTAATTCAAGTTCTGGTTCATGTTCTGGTTCTGAGATGAGCTCTTTGTTTGATGTTTTTAACTGTCGGGTTCAATTAAAAACTGAACTCGAACAAATTCACATTTTTTTACACCAGAGTTAAAAAGTTTTTATTGATCATTAAAACAACGATCATCTCCGAGTTCTGTTTCAAACTTCACACACTTCAAAGTTCAGAGGTGAATTTCAAAAACATTTTTACATTAAATGTATATTAAATATTTGTCAATTCTCCTTTTCTGATTTAAGATTAAAGGTTCAATTCTATAGATTAATATATAGAATATTCCCACTGTTCCATTTCCTTTGGAGAAATATTTTCAAAACAGTTTTTTATTGTTTTTTTTTAAGAACAATTTGATTTAATAAATGTGTCAAAGCTGAGTTTCCAGCTCTGGGGGTTCTGTGGTCTCAGGTCTGGACCTGGTTCTGTTTGAATACATGTTGGACCTTGACCCAGTACTGACCCACTTCACACCAGCAGCACAGACCCAGTTTTCTGCCCCTGCTGTGGGGAACGTTCTCAAGTGTTGGTGAAGGATGAGGGCGGACCATGTGACCCTGTCCTTCAGCACTCATTGGTCCATCCTCACAGTCTAACAACACAGGTTGTTGGTTCAAGTCTGAAGGTCAAGGTCAGATTGTTGATTTACCGTTGGATGAGGTTAAAACAGCGGCTCGTGGTTCTGGTCCTGGCCCCCCTTCACTTTGTTCTGATTCTACTGATCCACACGCGACCTGTCGGTCTGTAGACCTGTCGGCCTGTAGACCTGTCGGTCTGTAGACCTGTCGGCCTGTAGACCTGTCGGTCTGTAGACGTCACGTGACCTGTTCGCTCTACATTTACAGGTCGATGCAAAGTTTCAAACCTGTCGTTTCCACTGGGAGATTCAGAGGTCGGAGAGAGAGTGTGAGAGACGACTGCAGCAGCAGGACGCCCCCCCCACCACAGGTGAGTGTGTTTGGTCGTGAGGAGAACAGGAAACACACACACACACACACACACACACACACGTGTGGTCTCACCCTTTATATATGAGAATGCGCGTGTGTGTGTGTGTGTGTGTGTTCAGGATGTCGTGGTGAGTGGGACAAACTCGCCTGTTGGCAGGACGCGGTGGTCGGAGAGGTCCTGACCCTTTCCTGCCCCCCCCCTCTCGTACAGGTTTTTGGAAAGAACGGTGAGTCAAACACACACACACACACACACACACACACACTCCCTCAGACCATGTGAAGGACGGGTCAGTGTGTGATGTCGGTCCTGGTTCTGGTCCCTGACACTGACCTGGATCTTCTACTTCCTGTCACCGCCTCCTCCTCGTCTCTTTCATCCTTCCATCACTTCCTGTCTCCTTCCCTCATTCTTCCCTTCATGTCCCTGCCCTCGTCCTCTGACCCCGACCTGGCCCCCGACCCTGAGGTTCTTCATCATTTTCCATCATCTCCTCTAATTCCTTCCACACCGAGACAAAAAGAATCTTAATCCACATCTGTTTCCTCAGACAGCGGCGCCCCCTGACTGTCATCAGCAGAAGTGCTGAACCCGTTTTTCTGGTTCATTTTTTCAAATGAATCTTTTCTGTGTGAATTCTTGGATTTTATTTTTGGCTCCAGACAGAAACGGTTTCTGAAACCTGTGTTTGTCGTGACAGGAAACCTGAGCAGAAACTGCACGGAGAGCGGCTGGTCGTCTGTTTACCCCGTCATCACTGACGCCTGTGGCTCCAACGACACTGACCAACCCAACGAGGTGAGGGTCAAGAGGTCACCTGGTCACAAGAGTGAAACTTATCTTTATAATACTTTAGTTCAGACCAGCTTTAGACGCTCCAGGCCCCAGGCCCCAGGCCCCAGGCTCCAGGCTCCAGGCTCCAGGCCCCAGGCTCCAGGCTCCAGGCTCCAGGCTCCAGGCTCCAGGCTCCAGGGTGTATTTTTTAGTCCCAGATTAACACAGCAGATGATAAGAGCTCCACGTCATCACCTCCACTGTTCCTGCTGCTGCGGCAGGTTCAGCAAACAGAAACCCAGACGGGGTTTTGAAAAAGTCTGTTGGTCTTTGTGGCAGCTCTGACCTCAGATCAGTCTGTGTTTGTCAAACCTGCAGGTTCTCTGTGAGACAGGTCGTCTGTGGGACAGGTCGTCTGTGGGACAGGTCGTCTGTGGGACAGGTTCTCTGTGGGACAGGTTCTCTGTGAGACAGGTCGTCTGTGGGACAGGTTCTCTGTGGGACAGGTTCTCTGTGAGACAGGTCGTCTGTGGGACAGGTTCTCTGTGGGACAGGTTCTCTGTGAGACAGGTTCTCTGTGAGACAGGTTCTCTGTGGGACAGGTCGTCTGTGGGACAGGTCGTCTGTGGGACAGTTGAGGTCAAATATGTCTGATGTTTGTCCGTCTTTGTGAGAGATTTTTTTCTCCTTCTCTCCAAACTCCACAGAGAAAAACAATGATTTTAGCCCAAAGAGGCAGAGGAACTGTGGGGCCACTGCTGCCCCCTGTGGTGAGTTTCTGTCACTGAGATAAATCTAAACAGAATTTCACATTTGAACTGAGTGACGGAGGCAGAAGTCGATGGACGACGACTGTTTCTCTGAGCGAAAATCACTGGTTTTCTCCATGAGGTTTGGTCTGTGAGCAGAAACGTAAACCTCTGCCCAGGGTCACTGACATCACTGACATCACTGACATCACTGACATCACTGACATCACCTTCCCTTAGTAAAACACTGAGCTGAACCCTACGTGTGTGTTTGACAGAGATTGATGAGGAGAGAGAGGGGCGAGCAGACAGATCTGTGACCTCTGACCCCTCACTCCCTCAAACTGTGAAATTGTTCTGTGTCTGTGTCTGTGTGTGTGTGTGTGTGTGTGTGTGTGTGTTCACCTGATGTGAAACAGATTTAAAATATTTTTATTTATTATCATATTTAGACTTGTTTCCAGTTTTCAGAACATTTTCAAAAACCCTCCCTCCTCACCCCTCCCTCCTCACCCGTGGCCGTGGTGATTGATAACCTGAGATCTTTACATCCTGACTTCATTTTTCTTTTTCACTTCTTTCACTTTTTTTTCCGTTGGGTTGATTTAATATGAGATAAAAAAACAATGATGGAAACACGGCTTTAGATGAAGCACACACACACACACACACACATCCAGGCGTGGAGCTGCAGCGTCTTGGACCTGATCTTCTCCAGAACTTCCATCTCTGCTGTTTGTTTCCTGTTGAACTGACGTTTCCGTCTGGAAAACTGTCTGCTGACACAAAACACACACACACACACACACACACACACTGATCCGATCACATTGGCGTGTGGACCTGTGTTGACCCCTGACCCTTTGGCTTGGACGGCAGCGGTCGTGTCCACTGATCCACAGCTGCAGTGTCACAGATGATGAATTCACCTCGTCTGTGTTTGGACTTCAGCTCAGAGAGTTTAATGATAGAGTCAGTGAACGCATCACGCAATCACAAGTCTGTGTGTGTGTGTGTGTGTGTGTGTGTGTGTGTGTGTGTGTGTGAGTTAGTGCCAGATGATGTGTCAGACTCTGGGAATGCTGTTTATAAATGATAGAGGGCGGTGAACGCCAGCCTCGTCCACACAGTCTGAGTTGGACCAGATCCTCCAGAGTCCTGGTCCAGAGTCCTGGTCCAAAGTCCTGGTCCAGAGTCTAGGTCCAGATCCTTCAGAGTCCTGGTCCAGATCCTCCAGAGTCCAGGTCCAGAGTCCTGGTCCAGAGTCCTGGTCCAGAGTCCTGGTCCAGAGTCCTGGTCCAGAGTCCTGGTCCAGAGTCCTGGTCCAGATCCGTTTCTTGAAGCAAATTGAGACTAAATACAAAAATATAGTAGGAACAGGGAAGAATAACTGCTGCCCCCTACTGGAGATAATAGATCAGTGTGGTGGTCAGTTGTCTCTGTGGTCTGTGGACTGTTAGGACAGTGACCTGTGTTTGTGTCTGTGTCTCCAGCTGGTCTTCTACAGGGTGGTGAGAATCCTGTCCACGCTGGGCCACAGTCTGTCCCTCATCACTCTGTCCACCAGCACCGTCCTCATCTGTTTGTTCAGGTCTGCACACACACACACACACACACACACACACGCACACATGCGGAGACAGAATGATGTCAATCCTGATGGGACTGAAGGTCCTGGACATCTGACGTCCCTTCAACCCACTTTAACAAACTTCCTGTTCCAGAAAAATTCAAAATAACTGGACTGTTTAACAGGACATCAAATATGAATGATTTATTTTCACGTGGTCATGTGACCAAAGTACAACGACACCATGTGATGTGATGGTTTTGAACAGCAGAGGGCAGTGTTTTGTGGCTGGGTCGGGTCCATCTCTGCTGACCCGCGGTCCGTCCTCAGGTCAGCGAACCATAGACTGAACCACGGAGTTCAGTTTTTATCATTAGTGCCCCCTGGTGGTTGAATGGTTGAACTGTCAGAGCCCTGCTGTCGTGGTGGGGGGTTTGTGGACATAATTCTTCAGGAATGTTGTTTTTCAACGTCTTCATTTCTCCAGGACTTTGTTTTGTCTTCTAGTACACAAAAAATACACAAAAAACACACAAAAAACTCACAAAAAACACACACAAAAGTGTGTGAAATCCATCTGATGAACTTTAGCTGTCAGTGTGTTTACGTCTTCATCCTTCACTGTGTGTGTGTGTGTGTGTGTGTGTGTGTGAACAGGAGGCTCCACTGCACGAGGAACTACATCCATCTGAACCTGTTCGTGTCCTTCATGCTCCGAGCCGTCGCCGTTCTCACCAAAGACTCTCTGCTCTTCTCAGACGACGAGAACACGGATTGTAGCACGCAGCCGTCGCTGGTGACACACACACACACACACACACACAGGGGTCAGGGGTCAGGGGTTAAGTGACTGGACTTCACCTGCTGCACAGACAGTTTGTAATGTGGTCTTTGTGGTCTTTGTGGTCTGTGTTGTAGGTGGGCTGTAAAACCATCCTGGTTTTCTTCAACTACTTCATCATGGCCAACTTCTTCTGGCTGCTGGTGGAGGGTCTTTACCTGCACACACTGCTGCTGGTGGTCCACTCCTCCTCCCCCCCCCTGTCTGTCTACATGCTCATTGGCTGGGGTCAGCTGCCGCCGCGTCACGTCCACACACACACACACACACACACACACACCACCGTTCACAACATGATTAGAAATTAGAACAGAGTCGACCTCCGACATCCATCACCACTGAACCAACGCGTCGTCATCACTGCCTGCTGTTCCTGTGTGTGTGTGTGTGTGTGTGTGTGTGTGGAGACACTGTATTTCCTGCGTGGCCCCTCATGAGAATGTTCTGTCTGGCACAAGGAATCTAAACACACTCTCTCTCTCTCTGCCCCCCCCC